GCTTATTGTCTACTTTATGCGTTTGAATCATCTTCGCAATCGAGCTTAGTTTGTGCGCTTTGCATTATGTCCCAAAAGCGGTGAAAATTTTACAAGGCTTGGCATTAATTAACTTCCTAACGAAGACTCTCTAAATAACTTCCTTATCGCACTGGTGGTAAAAGTGTGATCAATATTACAAAACTCTTCACTCTGGGGAATACTGAAAGCTTTATTACAGTTGATGGTATGGCTACATTGTTTGAAGAGATTAAAGGACGAGCCATCCGAGAACAACAGGACTGCATTACCTTGATCAGAGCAATGACTTGATTTTTTTACCTTTTCGCAATTGATGCCATTCAAAAAACCACCTAGCGCCATTTTTTTCTCCATGCGATCATGGTTTCTTGTATAGAAGTGCAGGGTTGGTCCAACAGGAGGTACATGCACTATGATTTCAGATTAATTCAGCGAACAATTTAACATAGGGATGACGGAGCTCCTTTCTTGCCAAGCATTAGTTTAATCACATCTCGAGTGTTTTTGGAGGTGTCGCTGGAACGGTATAATAAAAGCGGTGATTTCAATGGGAAAAAAATGAGCTAGTTAAGAAACAACCACCGAAGCTCTGTTGATTTGATAAGGCCTAGAAGTGCTGCGCGGGTGATAACCATGCTATTACGCTAGCCAACCCCAACGGTTTATTGCCGCTGCGTTCAGTTTTAAGAAGAGGTGGGACACTCTTTAATTCAATTCCAACAGGCGAGTGTGATGAGCGTGGAAATCTTCCGCCTTTGGCGGGTAGCAGATGGGGTAGCTTTGGGTTCATGACGGGCGGAGTGTAAGACGCTGAAGTGATGGTTTATTAATTTTCCCTGACATAAAAGACGTAAGCATTACTTGCTCAGCAGTGGTTAAAAACATGAGGGGTTTTAGCAATGAAACTTTGGTATAGTTTTTCATTGTGGTATTAATTTGTGAGCAGAGAACGTTTCGAAGTTGGCGCAATTTTGACAAACACAGCTTTTGCGTCCGTCCAACTGCAAATAAACTCAGGCACTCATCTTCGATCGAGCAATTATTATGACATTAGGCATTTTACAGAATGAAATCCCTCCTATAAAGTGGTTGCAGGCAACGTTCATAACCACAACCGCTAATGACGGAATGGGGCTCTCTGAAGATAAAATTCGAGTTACAGTTTAGACACTATAACCTGTGTCTGCCTTAATGTGAATGGATTAGGATTTTTAAAAATCCACAAAAAGTCCGAATTCTTTCAAGACTCAAAAACACGGACGTAGTGTCTAAAAAGAGAAATCATTGAAGAAGCTTGTGACAACATCATGGTACTTTGCAGTAATGCATTCTTCATGACATTTATGCCTCTCGGAGGTTTTTTAAATAACATGTACTTCAATTGCATTGCATCGCTGGCAACGATGGACAGAGTAGTGATAAGTTTCCACAGCGACCAGCGTATTTAATGCGTGGAGAAAGGAGATTCCTAGCGTGAGCCGCAGGAAAGATAATGAAAATTTTCAGTCGGATTGGCAAAAAGGCATTTTCAAAGCTGTGATTTTTCTGCAAATTATTTCCACACAGCAGGCATAAAAATTATGGGCAGTACAGGTCCTGTTACACTCGATACAATCCTAGCAGGGAGGAATGACAGCCTGAAGTGAAGTGACACGTCATGCCGAAAATACCCTAGAGAGAATTAAGGCGCATGCGCGCGAGTCAAACATACAGTTTACCCTGTGAAGCAAAGATTGCTCAAAATCAAGGGTTTTGCTGTTAATTCTACTGGTTGTGACTGATAATTTGCCTGGCTCAGGGCTAATCAAGCAAATGTAGGCCCAGACATAAATTTGGCGATGAATTACAGCAGCCACTTTTTGCTATAGAGTACCGAAGTGAATACGTCACACGCACAATTAGTGTGTAAAAGGCATTAGCGCGAGAACCAGCGCGTGAACCCACACGCGCGCGTACTCCATTCGTTTGCACTGCACTTTCTGGTTCACAGTGACGTCACACTTCGGTACTCTATACGTTATTTAATATGATGTTATCACTGTTGTTCGTAGGTTGCGATTATTATGTCACGAGAAATCCACCAAAAGTTAATAATGAAGACCCGTTGGGAAAGTTGCCCGAGCCACCCTTGGCTTGCATTTTTGCACGCACGAGAAAGAAACATTTCAGATTGTAGAATTTTCAAGGGTTGACTCACCATTTGTGTCTAATCACAAGAAGAGAGACTGTGTATATTGTATTATAATATTTCGTTTTGAGTCACTAGATGGAGCGAATGCATTAGTGGTAAGGCAGAACAATAGTTGGGAAAACGTTAATTCCAGACTGATTAACTTAACTGTGGTAAAATCTCATCAAGGATCCACTTAGAGTCACGTCACGTGACGAAAGACCTTTGCTATTAAACGAATTACAAATACAAGCTATAATCTGATTACGACTTGACGAAAATGACATTTTTTACGAAGAGGTGAAGATGGAGCTGTATTTAAGAACTGTGGGTTTATGTTTAGTTTCGCCGTGCGTCGGGAAATAAATATCCATCGCTCGACATGGTGTGCGAGCCATGTCTGCGGGGATTTAAAAAAAGGTTTGATACCGTTGGCATTATTTCGATCGGCACAGACTGCAGCTTTTAAGATAGTGTAGCCAATACAGGCTTCCGTAGATGATTTTTCTAATGGCCTATCCAGTATCTTTTACTATGACTGCAAGATCAATAAGAATGCTGTAAAATTTTTCTATTTATTTTTGAGTGAAACCTGCAAGCTTTTTTGGTCACTTGAGTACATCATTTCGACGTAGCTTCCGGCCTGGATGTGCTTGTGCAAGGATAGGCGTGATTCAAGGCCTCTTCTACAAAGATTTTCCCCTTGGAATTACTTGAAGACACCGGCACTACTTTTGAAATCTTCTGCTATCCTTTCTGCTTTTGTGTACATTGTCTTGAAATCGCAGAAATGTCGGCAGCCTTTAATGAAACGGCGCGGGCCATGCGATTTCAAATCCGGTTTTTAATGTAGTTCTTATAATGCTCCTGCATTCAACTCAATTTTGAATTGTTTGCATAACAGTTTGGGAGGACATTTGGTGCCTTCCTGATTTTGTGCTTATGAGAACTTTGAACATTTAGATGAAAAAGCAAGATGTTACCCAAGGTAGAAACTTGTTACAACTCTGCGCTCAAATTTTCCACCATTTGGAATATTTAGCTGGTGTAAATTCTGTGTACCTTGGAGATCTGTAGTCTCAGTTCACAGACAGTAGGCCGACGAGGAAAGTTACCATACAAAAATTTTCAGTGAGCAAATTTAGGGTTTGCAATTTGAACGGAAAGTCTCAAAATGTCTAGTGTCTTCGTGAAATATGACCTCACAGCAACAGCGCCCTCGTTTGCCCAGGAAAAATGGATTTAAAAAATGTAAAAGAGTACACTTTTCATTGAAAGTAACCGAACAGAATTAGTTTTCTCTAAGTACATGAAATTCACATCATATAACCTATTAAGTATTATCTAAATTGTGACCATTGAAGTCTCGATTTTGACCTACATGAAAACCAAATTGCGAGAACTCAAAAGGACGTTATTTGGGGTCGGATTGCGCTACCCGGTTCTTCATTCACCTAACTCCTAAGGAAAATCCCTACAAAAAACACACGGGCACGGCCTTGAAAGAGATTAAGAGATGCATGTACCTGCATACAGCAAGCACTGCATTATGTGTGGACTGATGCGGCCCAGACGATCAAGTCTGACGTAGCCATTCGGGACAAAATTATGGATTGAATCGCGGCACATCAATTCCCGTGCGTGCCTTCCGCCTGAAAGCGGCGTCAAAACGACGTTTAAACAAGAGTCTGTTCCAATCGTGAATCTAAAAGTAAACCGAAAGCCATTTTCTACGATCGATGGACTTTTTGAAGCCCGATATGACAAACGCACCAGCAGACAGCATCATCAGTGTACTGAGAAAAAAATAGCAGCCGTAACCTCCCAGGATGCAACAACTTGTCTTTGTATTTTCTATCGCGATACGGAGTGCAAAGACATTGACCTTTTCATAATCAATATAATGCATTCAAGTTTCTTTCGAATGAATGAAAGAACCAAACAGCTATTTTTGCCTGTGTCATATAAGGGCTTTGCTATCCTACAACTTCAGTGAGAATTTTTAAGTCAGGATGTTTTCTGTGAGTGAAAAAGGCGGCATTTTTATGTTCATATATTGCACCTTCAATGTCAATGAGTAGGTTGACTGTGTTCCTTTATACACTGCTTAGTTTCCTGACAACTGAAAACATCAAAGTTTTCCCAAATGGAAAGTGAATATTACCTGTGAAATTTTCTGCTCCTCTCAAAATCAAGAAAATTATCAAATCTATAGTACACATTTTGAAACGTTTAAAGTTTTCCACGCTTCCACGACAAACAAGGGCGTCGTTGCTGTGATGTCACTGGAGAAAGATACCGTTCGGAAGCAGTTCTGTTTAAACTGTGAACTGAACATTTTGTACATTGAAAAGCTTTAGGAGAAAACTTTACTTAGTGGCCATCTACCGTAAACGGAAACAACGAATCACTAATTAGTAAACGAAGTTTACGACAACAAAACATCCTAAATCCTGGCACCTTTTCGCACTAAAATAGCTTTAAAACGTAACTGTCTGCCTTGGGTTATATCAGACGTTTGCTCATAAGTATGCGGTTAGCATAAAATAAAAGGGGCACAAAATGCCCTTGCAAGGGCAAACAAAACCCAAAATTGAGTTACGAGACACAGAGAAACATATTGTTTTCTACAAGAACTGTATCAAAAATTACATTGCACGGCCCCTTTAAAACTCTGGACTCCAGCGTCAGTGCTTGTGCACCGTAGCCTACCTCATCCCTGTAATCCTTTCAACCTAATGGGGGGATAATGCGCCGTATAATCTTACACGGACAATTAACAACAACATTTTTAATGTTTGTTGACCAGGCTTAGGTGGGAGGCCAAGGAAACTTCGCGCCTTTGTGAATGACTGGGTTAATGATGGCGAGGCGACACGTGTTTTCTACTCCAAGGTGGTTCCGGTCTTCCAGGTGGCAGGAACAAGACTTGATGTAATAGGTAACAATACTACTGAAAGTGATGTAATCATATGGGTTATTAAATTTATTCATTTAAATCACCAACAGAGGTTGCCCGCCAATAAAAAAATACCCCAAATTACATAAACCAAACCAAAGTACAACTTCACATTTAAAACATAAAACAAATACAAAATATACCAAACACTGCACCAGCTATATTCCCTAAAGCAACACAAAGAAAGACGAGGACAGGGGAGGATGGAATGTTGGGAGGGGCGGGGGACAAGGGGAAAGATAACGGGGGAGGACCCAAGGGGCAAGACATGAAGGCTACGGGTAAGAAAGGAGAATAAGGAGAAATGAGAGAGACTAAAGCACCAAGGAAGGACCAAGCTTAAATACTGATAAATTAAAAATGCATTAAATCTCCAATATCTAAGGACTTGACATTGAATTCGACAACTGCTGATCATGTAGGTTAAATGGGAAGGTGTATGCTAGGGCCTGTTTTCGTTCCCTTTGGTGACTGGGATGTTGAGAACATGCATCCGTTGTGTACGACACCGGAAGCCAGTCTGATTCCTTCCTCCATGGTCTGATGTACACTTATTTTAAGTGCGAAAGCAACGCACAACCTCTCGTTTTACAGTCCTTTCTTCGCATAATATTGATCCTGGCTGTTTAGAATAATTTTCAAATCAAGCCCAGAGCAGTGCTCACCGTCCAAAAGAAAGAAGGGAATCGTATTTGTTTGTTGAACTTGACATTCAAAGTCATGATTCAATTTGTGATTTCTGTACAGAAAAATGTTTACATCTACTTTTGTAAAAAAACATCTTCAATCAGAAAATGCTTTTCTGAAAAGAAGGGTGCAGTTTAATTGGATAAAAGACGGGAATTTATCAGGACTGTTGACAAGAGATTGCGTGACAAGTTGTCACTGTAGGTAAAGACATTGACGAGAATGTCTCGGTGCACACCTCATGTCGATCATAGACACTGGCCTTATCCGTTGCATGAAGCACTTTAGCATGTTAATTGAATTTCTCGTTTATGGACAGAGTAAGTTACAAATTAATATACGAGGTATTTTGGGATATATAACTGTTCTTTGTTAATGCTATGCTACCCTTCAATTAAACAGAGAGGAATAGAATCAGAAACCTGAGAAATTAATGAAACATGTATAACTGCCCCTATTAATACCATTTATGGAATTTTATATTTAAGATATCCTTATAAATATTTAGAGTTTTTCATTTCCTTTTTAGTGACAACCAGAGAGGGAAGCGCTCACCAAATCCTGCAAAAAGTCGACTTTGATGATTATGACGGGTAAGCTGTGAAGTGGATTCATTTTGATAAATATGGGCATGCTCATAAGAAGTCTTGACGACAGATGCTTACAACCATGACAGACGACAGTTTATGGTGACGCCCAGTCGGAGAGTGGGATTTTAAAGAACGCTGCAAAAGTGACATACGTATCTGTTGGTGGCACAATGTAATGCAGAGCTAATAGACAAAGGTCCATTTTCTTGAACCAAGATGATTTGTATGGTTATTATGGAGATTGAGAGGCCACAGATTAATGCGCACGTGGTATAAATCAGTCCACCGTCTTTTTCTTTAAATTACGTCGTACATAATGATGCACAATGTTGAGGATTCTAGAGGGTAAAACATAACAATCCTAGTATGTCGACACGGGACTGACGTGTGGTTGGTAAAGAAACGACCCGCGAGGTGACGTAACTGAGGATGTCCTACCGAGGACACAGCTTGATGCGGACCTGGTAGAAATAACCCATTCATACCTCACTAAATTTATGTGTTATGCTAGGTTGGTGTGTGTCGGTGGTGAGGAAACGACCAGGGAGGTGATACACGGTCTGCTAGAAAGGACTCAGCTTGATGCGGACCTGGTAGAAATCACTCCTGATACCAACCTTACTAAGTGTGAGATTCCGCTGGGCATCATTCCAGTCGGTGAGTGGGCTTTCGGATTTGAGATCTGCCCATATGTTTAACTCTCTATAGCTCGTTTCTTCTGCATGCGTGGCTGTGAGAAATTATGAAAGCTTGAACGTCTGCTTTAACCAAGCATTTCAAAACACAGCCCAGGATTCAATTACTCGTTGTTGACACAGTAGACCGTCTACCGCTGTATTTAATTAACAAGCCATCTGCTTAAAATGTGTCCTTTACCCCCAGGTTTGTTCAACCTCGTTGCTCATTCTTCCCAGGGGACCAGCGATCCCTTCACAGCGGCAATACACATAATTCTGGGTAAATACACATTTTTAGACGGTCTCAGTTGACGATGGTTTCTTCAGCATTGCATAATATTCGCATAATCAGTACACAGGGCCTTTATTATGACAGCCTACAGTCAAAAGTGTTCACTCTGAGGATCCCATTTACGCATTGGGTAGGCGAGAACAGGAGTGAATACCAGTGAATTAGTGAGTGCACTTGGAGTGAAAGTCCTTTCAACGCACGTTATTATTGTTATTATTATTATATATTTCTGGTAATGACACCAAGGATTCCTCAAAAGCGCCCTAGGCACTGCAGCTCGCAAGCCTGAAGAAACCTGTAGAGAGGAGACAATGAGAAGCAGTTACAGGTTTTGAGGTGGTAGGAAAACCCAAAGGAACATTCTGCGTAAAACCCACGGAATCAGGTAGGGATTGAAAACCCAATCCACATGTGGACGGGCCGGGATTTGAACCTGGGCCGAAGAGGTGGAAGGCGAGGAAAGAACCACTACACCACCCTGAATCCCTGATACAAAACGGGGATGAAGTTTTCAAACAGACCTGGCAGTAATAGAGGGCTTGTGATAACTTTATCACATGGCTGATTTTACTACGCTTTTGGTTCGTCCAGGTCACCTACATCCACTGGATGTCTCAGCGATCTTCCACAACAAGGAGTTCATCCGGTTCGGCTTCTCCATGATGTACGGTTTCGCTGGGGACTGTCTCCGGAGGGCGGAGCAAAGAGCCAAGGGCGTTATCAATGCAAGAGGGCTGGACTACGCTGTCGCCAAGTCGGTCTTCAAAGTTAGGTAGTTCTTCAGGTTTTTTGACAGTGTATAGTGTGTGTTTTGAATCCTTAAATAATTTTGATATGTTGCGTTACAGCGGCATGAGAATGTTCCTATCTGCCTTGACAGAAATACAAGGAATTGATTTTCAGCAATAGCCAAACTTTCACGGCGGTCTGAGACAACGTGTGTGAGATTCAAGTATTTGGCAAGCAATTATTGAAACTGTTCTGTCTTCATTTTTACAACAGAACTTACCGCTGTGCGGTTGAATATCTTCCCTGCGAGTCAAACGGGGTTTTCAGTGAGAGGTCACCTTGCAGAACGGGGTAAGAAGGAACTCTCCCTGACGAGAGTCGGGCTTAGAACGGCCCAAGGCACAGGTTGCATGTAACACGTGCCAGAAACTTTACTACAGATACCGTAATATCAGCACCATCATAATGCAACACATGATTTCTCGTGAAGAAGAAGCGATGGCAACATTGGAAAGAAATCAGCTCTAGGTAGTAATCAAATTAGATTACAGAATTTGTCGAGGCCATTAAGTGTCGGGTGTTTGGCTGACTGACCCTCAGGTGTGAGAGGTGCAAGGTGAAACACCCTAGCAACGGAGAGGCAGACAGGGAAGTCTCCTGGCCACTTACGGCAGGACAACGTGCTGATGACATGGCTAGTGGCTGTGACAACGACACGGGCCACGACAGAAATGGCCAAGTCAACAGAGGGTGTCAAGACATCGAAACGTCTCCCATCAGAACAAAAGGTTTTTCTGAAAACAAGTCATTTTTGAAAGAATATGGATAGTAAAAACAAAGAAATTTAAGACAAATTTAGTTTCAAGTTATAAAGACACATAAATAAGTTGGTGTCAGCCTATTCAAAACAAGAGCATCACTGCAAAAACTGTGTTTAGCCAGTAAACACTTTTCTAAACATTTTTTGGCTATCAGTTTGTAAACATGTTTAAACGCTAAGCATGTTTAGAATTTTAATGGATTGTATGCACTGGACATTGATGTTAAGGACTTGAACACTAAATATTTAGTAGCCAAACATTTTTGCAAAGTGAAAGCAAAATTGTGTTTAAAAGATAAACCCACTTTTTAGAGTAATGAAGAAGCAACGTAGTAACCTCAAAATGGTTTTGTGTGATTGAAATGCCTTCCACGGAACACGCAACAGTAAATGAAAAATCCTAGTTGAAGCTCACTTTGAAAAACGCATGGAAATGATTTTCACTTTTTCGGTCTGAAAACACCAACACTGTCTATGTCCTGATCCTTTCCATCGAGGGGAACACCAGTACGGAAACTACGGTACACATATAAAACTCTTAACTAAGTTTCGTCTTGTTTTAACTCTGTGGTTGCATTTCGCCTTAGCAGCAGATGGAACCGACAAGACTCAAGAGTGGATAAGCGTCAAAGGCGACTTCGTTAGCGTCGGCGCAATGACCCTACCCAACCTTTGCAACTGGTGCCCCGGTGGCATTTCACCTCTGACCCACCTAGCCGACGGCTGCCTGGATCTGGTGCTCGTGCGGGGCACGACCAGAGGAGAGTTCGTGCAACATCTTAGACGCCATGCCAGTGACAAAAATCAGGTGAAGTAAAAAATCAAATATAGAGGGCGCGCGGCAAAATACTAACATGTTCACTGTGTATCCAGCCCAGTAGATACAGAAACAAACTTAGCCAACTGACAGTCTTAAGAAGCTCAATAAACTTAACCGGCATATTTACCAGAGATCATGAAGGTAAATTTATATCTCCATGCTGGGATGTACTCACGAAACGAAGTTTTGACGTCATTACACAATGTCAATAATTTTGTTTTTTTTTCTTGAACATCTGCGTAGCAGAAGAGCCAAGGCTTCCTTGTTTGAAATTCTAAGCTCTTGGAGATATATTTCTTAATTGATGTTTACTTCTGGTTTGTTGGAAAGTTCGACTTTCCCTTCGTATCCGTACATCGGGCGAGGGCAGTCAGGTTCCATCCCCTCGGAGCGAACGACAAACCGTGCACAACAATTTTCGACAAGGGCCAGGGCGAAGGGGACACGACCTGTGGTGAGGAGGCCTCTCTCGAAGACGACAACGGGGGCGCTGTGCCTAGGACAGGCAAAGAGTTCTCGATGTGGAACGTTGATATGGAGCTCATGGCCTCGGTTCCCATGGAGATCAGGTAGGACGGAAGTTCGACAAACTATTTCAGATGAGCCCAAACCGACACGACTGTACAAATGAAACAATTGTTCCGTTAATCTATGGGGTGGTGTGCTATTTCAACTTGCCATGGTCACCTCTCCGTGAACTGCGTCCACCAACATTAATTCCCTTCGTCTTGCTTGCTCCTTTCTTAGGGTACATAAACAGCTTCTGACAGTTTTCGCATCTGGTATCCAAGACACAGACCACTCAGCCCGGAGCTGTAGATGCCTCTGACGTACGTCATCCAGTCACCATGGCAACTGCCTAGAACAAAAGCCTCACGGTCCCTCCAAATCAGACATGAACTGACTCGTTAGTAACGCTAACTATCACGTTGAGGAAAGATACAGTCACTCTGAACAACCTGTGTTAGTTCAACAAGATAAAAGACGGCGTTACAAAACACTGATGGTTGCGTACAAAGCAACACTCACGTCTTGACAGCTGCGCGCATGTCCACCTACTTCTTGCCATTTGATTTAGTACCGGCTTGTCATAACCAGCTCGTCCCCCTTTCAAATTGGAATCTCCGCGGAGAGTGATGTGATTTTTATATTTGAAAAGCCCTCAATGTCTTCGAATGCATCTACTGACGTTGCTAGGCAACGCACAGAGGTAGCTGAGTGAAAAGTTATTATATAGCCACGTGATATTTAGGGCCCGGGTTTTGGCACTGTGCCAAATTCTCGTTCAGCATTACAGTGATTCAAGCGGATGCGACATATAGGATCATATTCGGCGTAGCACCTGTGACCTTGACCATGGAGTTGACTCGACAATAAGACCTTATCACAATGATCCATCTAGCTGACGGACCGTTCTGGAATGGGCAGACTTTCAAAGTTGCGTTTATGAGATCTAAGCATCGATCTCAATCTGATGACACTGCAGCTTGTAAATCTGTTTCTCGAGGAGTGCATTGCCCGGCATTTAATCATGATACATGCCTGCTGTTCAGGTGGTACCGAGGTATCGACTGATACAAAAGTTGTTCAGTGGGGTAAAGCTTTATCGATGTATTCATTTGCGTGTACGAGTTTTGGACGTTAGATGTTAAAGGAAAAACTCGACTTTTCTTGAATCCGTTCACATCAAAATCTGACCATACCGTTTTGTTACCAACAGGAACATGATCAATGGCTGGAGCTTACTATGTTGCACATTTTCTGACTGTTTTGTCCAGTTTTACGACTTGCGCTTCCAAACTTTTGATAAATCTGTTAATTTAACTGCCCAGAGAGTGCACACTAGTAACTGTAACCTTTGGGAAACAACCGAGGAGTGAACGATTTCATTTTAGGTGCGCTGTCAGAGTGATTTCATAGTCCTTGGTAAATGAGATTAAGTAAAGGAAAGCACGTAACTGAAATCTACAAATAAAATTTTCTCAAATTAAAAACAACGTCGGTGCCCTTTTTGAGTTTAAATTCTTCCTTTCGATTCTGCAAAAGGCTTTAATATACGGCAACTCGTCTTAACTCCGACGACGAAAGATGGGGAAGTACGCCCTCTTAAGGCGCTATACTTCTAAATTGCGGTACATCTTTAAGAGCGCCATTGAAGAGAAGTTTACTGTGACTTGTATGCCATCGATTTCTTTTCTGGAAATCAATTTGTGGCGCATATACAGAACTTACTATGATGGCCTATGATGTTCAGTTGGAAACTTATTTAGTTTCCAACTATTTTAGTTTCCTCTTAAAACTGTTTAGTTTCCAACAATGTTGCAATGTAATACAGGGATATAAATACAATCGCTGTGCATAAATATAATATATCCGCAGACAATGCCAGGAAACGAGTGAACGAGGTTAGCATCCGTTTGTAATTGGTTTGCCGCCACGGGAAATCATACTGCTACCAAACTTTAATAGCAATCAGATAGAGGTCTATCTCTTGGTGACCATTTTGTAAAAGCAAACCCCACTGTACGTGCGGTGTTCGGGTGTCTCTTGTACAACTGTTTTTGTATACATTTTTTGTTTTATCTAAGTTGGGGAGCCAAAAGGAAGCGATGGTGGTTCCTCCGCTCTCCCATCGCCTTTCCTCCACGCTATTTGGTCAGAGGTTCTCAGAACTGTTTTGCCGTTATAGCTTCTTTAAATTTGACACCCGGATGCGATTTGAGAGGTGACTCACCTGTCGGCATCATGGCTGTATGGATTCAAGTAGGCCTATCAATGACGCACCGTCAAAACAACAACATGACATTTCTGGAGTGATCCCCGCAAATATGGTCAGCAATCACGAAACACAGTGAGCTACATCCCTCCTCAAACCGGAGAAGGCAAAACTTGTTTCCCTGCTTGTTCGTATTTTTGTGAATTTCTTCAAGAACAACACTGTTTTGCAGAAAATGTTCTCGGGTGGCAAAAGCGAAATGAACGCAAACTGGAGTACATGGAACAACATTCATAAATATCTCAGACACTTTTTCTATTCCTATGCCTATGGTCGAAACGTGTCACGTGACCGTGTATTAGCATTTGATAATGCCCGCTGAGAAGTGATAACGCTGCGTAAATCACGTGCTGGCACATGGATACGAGCACTGATCTCCATCATAAAGACTTGGTAGGACATCGCGCATTGTTTGTCTTTATAATGGAGATCAATGGATACGAGACGGTTTAATCGGGTCTAATGGGAGACTTCGCGAAGCTTGGTGGCGACAAACATACTGGTCTTTTTTACCAGTTCTGAGCATGCGCGCGGTGTTTTGAGCATGCGTGCATAGTCCTAGGCGCGCGAAATATCTTGAAAAGGACAGGTATGTCTGCTGCCACCAGCGTCTCAAAGTCTCCCAGTTAGGAGTCTGTGTGCACGCGACGCGCCACGCTCGCGCCAAATTCATTGAAGGGGATTCTATTGGACAACTTTCAAAAGGTCCTATACCATAAAATGGACAGGGGTGTTCGGGAAAAAGAAAGTTAAGTTTTAGAATAAAATCGTGGGAAATCCATCATATGTTGACCTCTATTGACTCTCCAAATAATAAGGTATTCATGAATGGGAATAAATATGTGCTTGGCCGGTCTTTTTAAACTAACGTTTAAGACCTTGTTCAGGAGAACGAACGCTGAAAATACCTTCGCCTGCGACTCGGGCATTAGTCGCGTCCGTTCTCCTGAGCAGCATAGACATAACTTTTCCCTAAGTAATGTTTCAAAGTGAAGACAAGGGTTACAAATGTCTGCAAATCTGGGAGGACTTCTACAGACCTCTACATATTTGCGCCCCTGATCAGTGCATGCAGCTGAATCGAGGTGTAAACTACGGTCAGTCCATCGTTTGCATGGTACACACTCCCTCGTGTGGTTTGGACCGGATTTTGCCGTAAACAAACCGCGGAAACGACCTACAACGTGAACTCTGGGTGTGATACTCAACGCGTGCCAAAAAACATGAGAGAATTATTAAAATGCGACATGAAACTGAAGGAAATGGTTGAAAACGAAAACGACATTTCGGTTACCGACATAGCATTCACAACCGGTGGAAGGGAAATCTTCCATTAAAGGCAGAGCGCAGGTAAGTTCTGGCTATGCCTTTGACATCTCTCGCAACGTGAATCTATCGATCAGTTTATCCCGTTTAAAATGTCCGGAGTTTTCGTTACGAAATTGACGGTACCGTGGGAGAACACTGACATGATTCATTACAATGTATAGGCCTAAGAACAGGAAATTTATTTATTAACTTTTACACAGGCTCCATTTCCTTCTTGTGTGCTTGATTTTGTAGCTTCCTGATTGAACCGCTCTGAAATATGCACAAAACGGACTAAAAAATTTTCTCATTCAAAATTCGGTTAAATTCCCTCCGCCAACATTTCCTAGACTGACTGACAACATAAAATACATAATATATACCGATCCAAACAACTTGAATATTTCTTAACAGGTCTGGGTTGTGAACATAATAATGCCTGTGCAGTTGCAAGAAACCCGACTTGGCTGCGACTTGAAATTACACAGGACTCTATAGCAACTGGCGGCACTCCCACTACCATTGGCTGTGTGTAATTTTGAGCCGCAGCCAAGCAATTTGGACACAGTTTCGACTTGGCACATTATGTTTGTAAATCTATTCAAACGACGGTCAATAGCGCATCGCGACACTCATGCCAGTCTGGTCCAAATTCTGTCAAACTTTGTACCCTTTTTTCATTTTAATAGTGAACTCCTTTAAACGGCAAAATACGAGACATAAGAGGTCAAGTACACTGAATACATGTGGGTGACTATTAGCGAAGCTTCCTTTCAGATGTGTGACATGAGTGGGTGTAGAATTTCAAAGAAGGTCTGAAGTTACAGTCGTAGGACGAGCCGATGCGGTAAAAACTCGTTTAGAGTACGTCAAAAATTCGGTGGTAAATCATGTCCCAAAGATGTCATTTTAAAAGTCAACATCTACTAGTGCTGGGAAAAATGCCCCCATCTTTTCTTCTGTTCTCAGAAAAGCCTTAGGAATGCAGTATTTCAGGAAGTTACTTCATGTACAGTGTAGTCAAGGACACGGTTAACATAAGCAATGAACCTGTTTCGGAGAAGTCATGATTCATCGTTTGAAACCAACAGTCATTCGCTTACTGATGTTTTGGTATAAAACATTAGCGTTCCTATCAATAATAAGAAAAGGCAGATTTCAGAGTTTATTCGGAGTGCTCATGGCCGGAGCAAATTGTGCCCTAAAGCAACCTAGAGAAAAAAAATCACACGTAGAGGAAATAAAAACAACGTACATGCCGAACGTAAAAACAAAACACTGAGAGTTGTCAAGTTGGCTTTACCGGACAGTTCGTGCTTCAGTGCTCAGGCTCAGACAGTCTCACGTATTCACTGAAACTACTTTCGAAGTTCATTAAGATCTTGATTGACACACGGTTAAAACACAACACAAACCAAAGTCGCAGTACTTCTTGCTGTTCACGGTGGCTCAAAGGCCAAGGTTGTTGCATATTTAAATATTAGCTTTTGTATATGGTGTAAAAGGCATGTTATATCGCATCCGTTTGCCACGTGGAAGCTATGAAAGAATATATACTGCTCGACATGTGGTCAACGCCAGAGTCAGCGCATTAACATGGTCGATGCCAGGACACATACAAGAGCATGAAGATTTTTATTGAAAAAGAAATACGAGGCCAAACGAGGCACGGGTCACATTCTGTGAGTTCTTCTGTCTGTCAATTGTTCATGCCGTTGACCTGCCTTGCGCCACAAGTAAAACCACCCAAGAGGCTCCGAACTTGCAGCGAGCACGCAGACACTGCCCACCGGGTGAGAATGCGCAACTAACGGGGGAAGTAATGAAGGCCGACGGGTCTCAGTCAGTGACAATGACCACCTTGTTTCTGTGCCCTGATCATCGCACATGCTGCTTTTCGTAGAAAAATACCACTTAGGGTGACTCTAAACACATTGGTAAATAACGTCCATACATATCAACTAAGATTGCAATACAACGCACATGACTCAAACTTGGCCAAATATTTGACCAATCACCACTCGGCCACATTTGAGAGAATTGTCTGGGCCATACGTGACTGGAAGAATATTTTAGAATATCAAAGAATGCTTCAATCAGCCAAGCCATAAATGCATGGAACTAAAACACCTGCTTAGAAAAAAAAACAATGGTTTAATCACTAACCATCTGTGATGAGAATCATATTCTGTCCCTCCAGATTTAGGACAGACAAGTGTATAAACAGTTATGCTGCGCTGGTGTGTGGTTTGCAAACAGCAACTGGCAAAAGGATTCGTGAGTTACTACGTCACTATATTGCATTACAATACTACATAATACTTGCGTTTGAAAACATGAACTAACTGTTCACCAAATCTTTGGAGATTTGGCGTGATATTATTAGTATATGATGCATCACTAGCTTCCTGAAATTATGGAAATACTGAGTAAAAACGTAGGAGCCCCGTCTTTTCTGCGTCGTGTGTTGTAATTGTGCAAGCCTCATACACCTGACACAGAAATGATCCGCGTAAAAAATGGAGGTCTCTGACATCTCGAGAAATTTGGCATCGGTATAAGTCAGCGGGGGGGCTCAGTCTATTATTAGATGAGGGTTCAGACAAGTTGAATTTTGCCTCTAGCAAATTCTCCTCACATGACGAACTCGATCCGAGTACAAACACAAAATACTATCGCGGGTGAACAATAACCCGTGGACCCAAACCAATATGGACACAAATAAAATCAACAGACAGACAGAAAGGTGATAAATTCAGATGACGTCACAATAGAAGGTCCTCCACGGCCGGCAACAAGCGCTGTTGCAAGAGATCTGTACCGTGATATTATGGGATTATCCAGGAGGTCAAATAACTGATATGCACGCACGCGTTCTGTACTCCTGCACCATGGAGCTACACACTGACAGGTTGATGTGATCATTATGGAATGTCCCAAGTTACAGAAAACTTATACAGTTTACACGCAGAGATTCCCGTTGTACCAGCTACACACGTACAAAAAATGTCCCAATGACAACTGTCCAAAATTTGACGTTGTGCAAGAGTCCGTGATTTGATGACCAGAATTAGATCTGTCAGAGGCTGTAGACACAGGTAAGTAAGGGGAAGTTTAGGTGTAAAATGTGTCAAATTGTAACTTTACAGTGTACTGGACTGGCTAGTGATACCATGGTAAGTAGTAGTATATTGCATAAGACGAACGAATTTAGCGACGTAAGAGAAAACAACTTTTTGAGGGAGGTCATCGATGTCATGAGCAGATTCGACATACAATGAGGTGGACTGTGGCAGCATAGTCATCTTCCTAAGCAATAATCGATGAGCCACATTCCTCGTCTGACTGAAGGCCAACCTTTTCAATGGCACTGAGGCGTGGCAGTGCACTATTGACGAGTCAACACGGGCACCCCCGCGTCACCACCAGCCCGTCACAGCAAACCCGGAAGGGGACTTAGGTGGTCAGGAAGAGGATATGTAGGCCCACATTTTCAGTACTTGCTGATACTGTACACTGTATATGCAGACTTGTTGGTTTGTGAACGGGGAATACCACTACCGGGTCACCGTGTAAAGAGCCTAAAGATATTCCACAGTGTCATCCACCAGCTGCACGACGGACGGGCGATTGACTGCTTGCCTCCATGGAATGCTGGACTTTTTCACGGGGCTATTTTACACTGATATAACTAGGATACATATAAGGTAGGCTCATGTTCACTTACAGAGAGTTTTGTTTTGAACCAAAGTAATCTGGTTGGCAAATTACGTCACGTTACGTAGCCATCTCCATAATAATTCACGTTGTCATCACACATCATAGGCCTATTTTTCTGAGTCAAGTTGGCATGAGCTATACTTCCGCTGGTATGTCCGGATCCCCAAGATACTGGTTTCCTAATGCAGCTAAACAGTAAGAATTGTCCTAAAGATGTGATGACATGGTTGAGAAAATCTCGAACAGAATTTACTCCAAGATCACCTGCTCATCACGTATATATCGAGACTACCACCCGAGGTTCTAGGTGGGCGGTACTGTTTGCAGAGTCTGCGGGGAGAGAGTTAATTTGTTCTGGTCGCATGTCGATCGGAAGTTTAAAACACAACCACAGTCACAACTGACAAGAGTGAGCAATGGCCACAGAATTCCTTTTGTCAAAGATCAGCCCACTTGTACCGCTTGTCACGCGACTTGTGACTGACCGGCGTGCTGTGCAGGCAAATCCCACGGATATATCCAGCAAGAAATGAGACCGAGGGATACCACCCCCCACTTGTCCAATCGCTATACACACTCTAGACTATTGTTATCTAACACCCCCCCCCCCGATGTCTGAAAAGAATTCCTCAGATTCCAGTGAAACAATGACCAGCACAAAGCGGGGGTGGGGTGGGGTGGGGGAGCGATGTTCTTTTCGTCTCATATCTTGCTTCATATGCCCGTGGATGATGGTAATCTCGGCATTTGCTTAGATAATGTAGGAACAATCTGAGTTGGTGTTGGCAAGTGCACTTAGTTTTCGCACAGTATGGGTCGTGACTTTATTTCTGTGTCGATCTTGTTGATGGCAGGAAACTGCAAAATGTATTACTTATAGTGTAACCATGCAGGAATCGGCAGTCTTGGTAGTCGAGGGTTAAAACTGCAACATTATAGGTCATGGGGGGTTCGTGACTAACTTCTGAATATCACTCTAGCTCTAGGACACTACTGAGTATCTCCTTTACGCACAAAATTTATGATTAAAGTGATGAAATTTAACAGCAAGAACAGTGCGTGAGTTCAGTATACATGTATATGTACATTATAGCAGGAAGCTATCGACAAGAATAGCTCTATGCTCACGGTACAATACTGTCTGTGTCACGTGTTCATTGCCAGTGCCACTGTGATCTGCGTGCCACGAACGGTTTTCTAATCACTCTCTTTCTCTGTTATCAGGATCCAGCCGAAACTGAAATGATTGCAGCATGATAGAGACCTTCGTGTGGTTCAGCATTGAGTAATAACTCGAACATCAATATCAGATAACTCGTCGTTTCGCCCAGGCCAAATTCTTGCAGTTGAAACTCTGTACTTTTACCCGATATCCCTTTGGAAGAATCGAACACCACCCGGACCGTTAGCAAAACAAGACGATCTGCAAACAGATACAAAGAACATGAGAATACGGTGGCAGATCGGGAGGTCCTCAGGCATGACCAGGTTTGTGTTTTCCCTGGCCGCCAGCGCCGTTGTGTTTCTGCTGGTGGCGGTTCGTCACTTTGCGACTGGATGCAATATTGACGATTCTCCGGACAAGATCATTACTTTCAACGGTGAACCGGGAAGTTATTTTGGTTATACCGTGCAGCAACACAGGAATATCGCCGGGGCATGGTGAGTGACCACTCTGTTTGGCCCAATTGTGAGGTATCCTTCGTCCAGTTTTTTTTGGCCACTAAGAAGAGCATATATTCAAAGCCACTGTATACTTGATTTGTATACTTGAATGGATGAGTTAAAGTTATCACAACCCTTGAAATTATCAACAGACTGAACAGTATTGAATGTTTACTGTAAACTACGAAGCAAAACACTCTTGACGAAGAAGTAACTGGAGACCAATTTAATACTACATGGGAATTTCACACACAACTATACACTAATTAATAACAGCTGTCGAGTGTTTTCTTCATCGAATAGTGTTTTGGTTTCCTTTGGACTTTGTTTCACTTTGCTCGTCCGTCAGCGTACCAGTGCGGATCCAGAAAATATTGTATAAAATTGAATGACAATAATAGATGTCATTATTTGAGGGTTATTATTTGTACGGTGTATATCTGTAACAATGTAATGCAGTACAACAACCTATCTATCTATACAACAATCGAACCTAACCAAAATTATGACAGGCCTGAACCACCCCCCTCAAATTTGTCTAGATACGCCCCTGGTGAAACCACTAATACTCCAGCAGGAAGATCGGAGATGAAAAGTACTGAAATTTCCAGGACATGCATAACCATGGTCATTTAAAATGACAGCTAACCACACTACTGTGCACAGCTTTCATTTTAAAAACTAAACAGCACGTTAACGGCCGACAAGGCTGTTCCTCATTGTTGATCGTTCCAGATGGAAAACCAACCATTCTTATATCAACTTATTCGGAATAACAAAGACGTCTGGGGACAAACGAAATAGGTCAATTTATAGGGACTAAATTATTAAGTCATGGCACCAAAATTACGCTAAAATGATAATTAAGGCAACCCGACTGTGTTTAAACTTGAATGTTTATGGACATGGATGTTGTAGCGTGGAGAACTGCTTGGAAAGTAATGCTAAATACATGTAAATTTGTTTCTGGGAAAAAACAAACAAGGTTATTATCCTCCAAAAATAGTATTAAAAGGAAAGGAAACGTAAACGGGCATCATGATTCATTGATATTCCTGTCCTATCTGTAATCTTTCCTTTCCATTTCTGTTGTAGAAAAGCCCGAGGTTGTCAGTTACCCGGTTAATAGCATATACATGTATTTTGTTTCTACTCACAGGGTTCTGGTGGGAGCACCCCGCGGGCAAAGTAGTAGTCAATCGTCGATAGACAGACCAGGCGCCCTCTATCGGTGTCAAGCCAACCGGCCTCACAACTGCTACGAGGTGACGCTAGATCAGTCTGACGGTGAGTCTGGGCTTTGACCCAGGGACAGATCGAGCGATTTTCAGATCCAATTCGAATCGGGTCAGAAATATCCGCAGGAGTGAAGACTCGTTTTTGCATGGCCCGCGTCTACCTGCCCCATTTGTGACCCCTGCACTGTTGTTGTTAACGTCAGATAGATTAGATGAATTTTGGTGACCGCGTGGATTGACGAAAACAATCTGCCAATCCTAGCCATTGCGATGATGTATGTCAGCTAGGAATCAGTCGTACAACTTCAGCTCATGAGAGTTGTCCTTCAATCCTCATGTGAGCAGCACTGACAACATTGCGAAAATAATGCAAAGGTCATGAAAGAAGACACAAATTGTCCTTGACATGTCCAGAAACACAAACAGATCACTAGGTTTGTTTTCTGCAAGCTGGATGTTTAGATTGTCGTTTCGTTGCCATGTTTGTTTTGCTCCCTCAATAGAGAAAAACTCGTCGGCATTGAAGATGTACAGCCATTTTATTTCAATTATAACGAAGTAAACAAAAAACATATACTATGCTGCAGTTGTGGCTTGTATAATGTTACTTGTCAATTTGATTTAAACGGTAGGAAACGAGGACTCCCCTCAAGATAAAATTGTTGAAGTCAAGGACAACCAATGGCTCGGCGTGTCCCTTACAAGACAACCCACTGACGGTCGGGATGCATATGTAACGGTATGCTATAACAGCCAGTCGTCAAAACGGCGATTTTTCACTTTTCTCTGGGCAAAATACTGCAAAGAAAACTTTGCGCTTCTGACGGTGGTTCTTATATTTCTTGCGTGCCAAGTAGCCATTGACTGTAGCAAGTCCAGTTTCAAATTAATATAAACCAGTACCTGGCAAAGTGCGAGGTATACTTTGTAAAAGCTTTTTTCTAGGCAATTTGGCGTAGCGTGCTTTGATGTCTTTCTAATCAAACGCCCCGTTGCATCTGTCGATATGTTGTAGGTCTGTGGTCATTTGTCTGCCAACGACAACTACTTCGTGCGTCCCGAACCGACAGAAAGCGAGGAAGAGAGAAACGTGAGGGTGGACCGATACGTCAACGGAATCTGCTACACCATTGACTCCGACTTCAATGCTAATTCTGTTGTCAAGATGCGTCCTTGTCATGATGGCAAGTCCTTGGCTTGTGACTCCCACGGGTAGACTCGCTGAAAACTGTAGTGCTGATTTAACACCAGATTGGGTGTATCTGAGGGAGTTAAATTAACACTAATTTAGCATCACAGTTTTTGCAGAGTTGAGTGGCAACAAAACACCCACAAATACATGTATGCCTTGAACACCGCACGCACTCTGAAACTGGTTGCTGTTCTTGCTTATTTAGCCTATAAGCAAAAATTGTTGCACAGCTTGTCGACTGAGGACGTGAAACAAAAAATTCCTCTGCCCACGACCTCGGTAGTTTTGCAAGTCTTTACTTGACAACATGGATCCAATGGAGGCCGCCCTCAAGAGGAAAATGTTTGCAAACCCCCTGGGTACTGTTGGAAAACCTAACCTTCCATCCTATACAAAATGTGTGTGCACAAGAAGAACACAGTCTTGTTTAGCTGTTCTGTGCTACTGCATTTAAAAGAATCCAACAGCCAACGATTAAAGGAATGAAATCTGAATATTGTTTTTGACAGAGTTGCAAGTGAATGGCACCTTTCGCTATCACAGCCACTGCCAGGCAGGAATTAGTGCTACCTACAACATGGATGGTAGTCGGCTCATTCTGGGTGCTGTCGGATCGTACGAGTGGAATGGTAAGCAAACTCTGGTGAAGTATGTTTGTCTCATCACACAAGTGTTTATCTTAATTGGGTTTATGGTCAGTGATTTGGCGCCATTGTTGCTTAGATGTACACTTGAATGGAATATTTGAGGTAGGACATAAACTCTGGAGAATGATAAAGCCTCACTTAGGTCGGACTGAAAACCCATGCCTTGACAGGCATTGAACCGGCGACACGCAATTTGTAAGAAGAGTGGGAAGTGAGTGGGAATTACAATTTCAGTGGAAGGAGATTTGGGATGACAGCAGAACGTAACGTTATTTTTACAACCCAGCGGTATGTTGTTTCACAAATGACGCCCGTAAAACATCAATCCAAGCAGGAGGAAGGAATAACACACGATAAGGTTCATTTTATGCTATTCCTGTGCCGACATTCCGTCGCCCACAAATTTGAGTTAGCGATACCCCCTTTCACACCCAGGAAACTTGCGTGGAAAGAGACATTTGACAATTTGGGTCATCTCTCTGGGTGAAGCTAACCAATGTTGTCCACAGTCATTCAGATTACAATTCGCAGGACAGAAACTGCAGTATACCTACACCAGAGCTCAGTTGTTGAAACTTAACCGAAGTCAACGATGACTCACAACTTAGGTTGGGGACTCACCATAGAGCTAGGAACACATGGTCTCAGCGATATATTCTTGAAGTTTTTCAAACTCTAGCTGACCGAGGAAGATTGATTTAAAATACTCTTCTGTCCAGGGACCACGATTGAAGCGACACGACAGGCAAGCAACTTTCGGTACAACGTTGGTCAGCTAAGCGACTGGGGAGTGCCAAGTAAGGGGCGAACCGAATACAGAGGTGAGCTCGAAAGGGGAAGAGCCATAAATGCCGTGGGCCATGTTTCTGAAAGGTTGCCGAAACAATTGCAATGGAATGCTTGCTGAGGTTAAATAATTATTGAAGTGGTCTTCCTCGTCAGGGCAAGCAACAGATTCACAGAAACCGTTCAGGAAGTTTGAGAATTTATGGCATCTGCAGCAATGCACAGGAATTTACAACACAACATATCCAGTTGCTTTTCCTCTGCAGTTTACTTTTAGATGTCTATCATCGTAACCCTCTTGAAGATACATTTTAACTTTTTATTTCTGACTTGCAGGTTATTCTGTGTCGACTGGCAAATTCCTAACTGTGGACACAGAGCAGGGCGTCACAGGGGCGCCCAGGTCACAACAGATCGGGAAGGTTACTATTTACGACTTGGAGACCTTCCAAGTGTACACTGAGCTCCTGGGTGAAATGGTAAAAGTTATTTAAAGTGAAAACCTTCCAGAAAAAGTAAGAATTGCAAGTTTGAATCTTCTTACAGAATATGGCTGTCATGTGCATTTAGTGACGAGACACCCTATCCTGAACTATGTGAACCATATCTGCTGCTCACCTGTGTTCCCGCCGAATCTCTTTGCGCACAGATGAGCACGTACTACGGTTGCGCTGTGCAGGGTGTCGACCTCAACGGTGATGGACTGTCTGATCTTCTTGTGGGGGCGCCCTTGTACTCGGACGTGATGGACGAGGGGAGAGTCTATGTGTACATCAATAAAGGAGAGGTACCTTTAGTCGACGAAATTACTAACTGGAAAAATATCACTTTTGATATGTGACAGGCTATGAAGACGACAGACATACATGTATATTTCTTTGCTAAATGGACAAATGGGCGACGGGTATTGAGACTCGGCCAATGGGAAGCAACTTCTTAGGAGGCTGCTATAATAACAAACTCAAAAGGAGCACTGACAGGGTCAGAGTACTGAACAAAGATTGCTAGTTGAAAGAGAGGTATAAGGAGTTCTTAAAAACGAAGCAATTCTTGGTGTTTTTTGTCTAAGTTAACTTCTCACTCTTGCTTGTTTCAGGCCAGGATGGAGCAGCTGAGTTTCAAGCTGGAAGGATCCAACGCCGTCGGTGGGCGGTTTGGTACAAGCATCGCTTACATCAAGGACGTTAACCTGGATGGATTTAATGGTACGTGGGATTTTCTAGGCAAACTGTGCCATCCACTCGTAGACGATGCCCTGAAGGGCTCTGTCTACTCGGGCGTAGAATTCTTTCCTGTCCCGCCCTATTTCATGTACTCTATTGTGATTCAGCTGGTATCGTTGTTCCCCATGCGCAGATGTAGCGATTGCAGCTCCTTACGAGGACGAGAACACTGGGGCAGTGTATATCTACAGAGGCGATCGAACCGGTATCCAGAGAAGATACTCCCAGGTAGAAACCAGAAAAGCAGATTTCTAGAGGGACATTTAGATAGGAAGGGAAACAGACAGATATACAAGGAGCTTTAAGCTATCCTGTGGGAAAACGGAAAGATCTCTCCAACCAAGGGACTACATGTATACAGACGAAACTAAACGCGTTGAATGCAGAAAGCATGCTTATTACTATGAAATGACACAATACATGTATAGACCAACAAGTTGGAAAAACCCTAAAGCCACAAAGAATAAGGTTTTCAGTCGAAGTTAAACTCATTACAGGAGTAAATACGAGATAGTTGGCTTGGCTTTTATATGTGGGTTTCCCCCATTAATTGAACAGCGCCTTGCCGCCAGAGATCTACTGCCCGGTGTCACGAGCTTTGGCAGTTCCATTGCCGGAGGGATGGACATTGATTTCAACTTCTACCCTGATCTTGTGGTCGGCTCTTATGCAAATGATGAAGTCTACATGTTCAAGTAAGTTCCTGTGCTCTCATTGCGCAGACAGTTTTGAGTTTGCTGTTGACTTTTGACTGTGACCATAATTAATCTCCTCGCGTTGCATTTCCCCTCATGCTCCTGATTATTTTCACATTTCAGAACCTTGCCTGTGGTCAAGCTGCGCGTGTGGATCGAGGTGTCTCCCGAGACCCTCGACCCTGAGTTCAATAACTGCGAGCTAGGGGGTCGCAAGATCACGTGTTTGACTGTCAAGGCATGCTTTGATTACACCGACGTGCATGGCTTGCCAGATAAGATCAGTAAGTGAAAACCTAACAAGTGTTCAGTTTCAACTGTCTGATGAATAAAGCATTCATCTTAAACAGATCTTCAACAGCTGCCTAAACTCACCTTTCCAAGAAGCATTTCCATACAATACTTCACTTTTACCAGTGTCAGCTCATAATCGTTTGTCATTTTAAGTATTCTAACACTTGAAACGTAGTGGAAGCTAAGCTTTTCAATATTCTTGAACAAGACACAATTTTCTCTTCTCAAGGTGCTAGCAAATAGCTTGAAGTTATACAACCGCTCAACTCAGACAGAAATCAGACAGAATCAGCTATTGCCTGAAGGTGATGACCCTTGGTACCCACACCTGATTTCCCATGGGGCATGTGTTTCATTGAATGCAACAGACTTGGTAACCAGGGTGTTTCATTTTGGGGTCCGTTTCTGAGCAGAATTCGACTACACCCTGGAGGTGGATGTACTCAAGACAGACCTGTCGGCCACGCCGAGGTTCTTTTTCCAGGGGGAAGCAGGTCAACAGATCAACTCGGTGGCGGCCACAATTGAACTCACCAAAAGCCAACCCAGCTGCTATCCGCGATTTGTTTATCTCAAGGTTTGACTTGTTGCAGCGTTTGCTGAGAGTTTCAAGTAGAGCTGAATTTCTTGGCAGGGGAACAAGCCCATGTTCTTTCTCTAAAGGGAAGGAAATGTAACTACTTTTGCATTTTTGCTTCGTCAAAATTATTTTTATAAAAGCTTTCACGGCACATTTAAATTTGATTGACTTTTAATACATCCTCTAGAATTTGCCTTAAAAGAACAAATTTAATGTAACCCTTTGAAAAGGAATTACAAAGAATAAACCCAAAGTGAATGGTCCCAAAGAAAACAGAACTGCACAACACCCAGCCCCCCCCCCCCAAAAAAAACTTTTACTCTAGCCCAGACAGCAAAAATAGCCCAACCTACTAGTCTCAGTTCCTGTCTGTTTGACGGCAGAGCGAGGCCCGGGATTTCCTGACTCCTGTTCGTTTCCTGCTGACTTACGACATTTGGGACTATCCGGACGAGCCTCCAAGGCGTGGTGACGAGGTGTCCTCCCCCTTCCCAGGTGGTCTACCTCCAGTGATAGACAACCCGTCCTGTTCTAATGGAACTGCCGAGAAAACCGTAAGAAAACGCACGATTAATTAGTTTCTTGAAGTTTCAGTTTCAAGCAGGAACCTCGACCTTCGCGTCATTTCTCCACCAATAAGTGATCACTTGCCTCTAATTAAACCTATAAAGTAAGCTTGAAATGCCTTCTTAACACACTCAGTACCAACATCACTAAGACCCATTTATCATTTCGTCACGGCTGTTAGTTCTTAATACTGAAGCAACGGACGACTACTTCACGAAAGCCAATGGTCTCTGTGCAGGTTTGTTTTTCTGAGGTGCTGCAAAGTCTGCACTTGCGCCTTCATAACTATATGCCACCCAGAAGACTCTGTTTTATAAATCAACCACAAATTAACCTGGTGTTCTCATCTGTTTGGTATCATAAGGTGCTGTTTATCCAAGACTGCGGTAACGATTCTATTTGCCAGACCGATCTCAGAGTTATTGCTGACCTCTTTCTGTCAAGGTAAATCTACCAGAATTTGTTTTTTTCTCTCGAAGGGGCAACTGGACTTGGTGTTTACACGCATCGATCTACTCGTTCCTAGAGATGAAGAGGGTTTTTACGATATCTGACAATCATTCTGACTGCTAAAACCTTCCTAACTGCCCGAGAAAACCGTTCAACAATCAATGTAGACGTGTCTTTAGATTTTTGAAAAAAATCAACCCACCACGTTATCATTAAATTGTCTTACAATGGTATCTAGGGGTAACAACATTATGTTGGCACTTAGAAACGACTCAACAAGAGGTTGAGAGATGAAGAATTCTCTCTTTAGACTACTTCAACATAAAATGCAGAAGAAATTACGAAAACCTTGAAAACCTGTGTGTGTGACCTTGTGAAATGCGTAAAAATACTCTCGTCAATGCACCTACTGTTCTTCAAAATGTAATAATTATATTTTGAACAAAATATTAGAATCAATACGAGTCCATCAATACCAAAACAGAGAATTTCTAATAATAATTTTTAGAAGCTTTTGTAGCAATATGTAGCCACTTTCAACTAATATATCTCCTTTCAGTGGTAACCCCTACATTACTCTAGGAGGCGATGGGGTCGTTTACCTCATGGTGCAGGTGCAAAACCTGGGAGAGGAAGCTCACCAGGCAGAACTGCTCATCAGCCACTCACGAGAAATTGTCTTTGAGTCGCTGGAGTCAAGAACAGTGAGTAAAGCTACCAGCGAGCCTCCCCCCGCCAAGCTTACCGTTTTCTGACAACTGATATTTACAAAGGGAAATAAGTTTGAAAGGAAAACCTAAAAACAGAAAGAACCCTTAAAGTCCTCGATACAAGTCCTTCTTTAAAATCAGCGTAGTTGGAGTCCCTATTCCAACAGTCTGGGCAGCACGGAATGTCTAATTATTTCTCTGAAATTTCTTCACGAGGTGGAATGCATAACGGATCGATTGGGGGCTCGTACCTGCTCTTCAGACAACGTTGTGACATGTGAACCCAGGGAAGCCATTAATGAAACAGCCGAAGTGTTATGTTCCCTTGGTAATCCGATGCGATCCCGGACAGTAGTGAGTACTGTTTGAATACATTTATTTTCATTTCAACACAAGGTACAAAAATACAGTATTACATATAACAACATAATTATGATGGTTGAAATGGAGGCACATCCAATGAAGCAGAGCTTGTGGCTGATGTGCCAATATGGCTTTGGAGAGTATGGTTTTTTCTACATGTATTTAATTGTTTGTAAGGCTGGCTATGGTGATGGTGAATACCTAATGATGGTGGGGTGACGATGGTCTTAGTGGTGGTCATGATGCTAGAGGTGATGACAGTGATTTATTGGATGGTGATTAGGGGATAGTGACGATGGTAATGAGGGTGCTGGTGGTGCCAATGATTATGATCATGGAGTGTATGTGGTGAAGCTGGTTCTGCATGTCACTGATAAAACTGTACTTTTGTGTACTAATTTAGTAACATTTTCCCGCCAGAATATCTTGCGTATGCGGTTTGACGTTGGCGGCATGTCCTATGGTAGGCGAATTGTTGACTTCACGGCTAAAGCGACAACCCTGAGTGTTGAACAGAACAACACCCTGACTGACAACACCGATACGGTCAGCTTGCCTGTCAGAATAGTGGCAGATGTTGTCGCACGGGGGTAAACCTACTTTACTTAACATTTCACTGTGTTAGAAAGAACCATTTAAAAATGTCCACTGCAGGTCATTTGTGGTTTTTAAGCCAGAAATGGAAACATCACACCGCGACGATTTGTTACACTGTGCCCCACCAGAACCTTTTGCTTGGCATTGCCAACTTTTGATGTTCTAGAGTTTGAGTTTTATGGTATTCTAGATTCGGCTAACATGAAGAAAAGAAATTTCACCTTGCCATATTAAACTAGTCGGATTTTTTTTATTTCCACTGCAGTGCCGTGCAGCCTGAGCAGTTGTTTTACTTCCCAGACAACGAGACCATAGACGGCAAAACACCAGACAAGGAGGCCCTCTTGCGAGCAGCTTTAGAAGCTGCGGGAATCCTGGAGGGAGAGGTCACGTCTACCGACAAGGCGATTGGACCCTCCTTCGCACATGCGTATGAGGTAGAGTATAGAAAGAAGTTTTGAGAGTCGACAACTTGTGAAGCTTGAAAGAATGGATGATTTTTGACTTGTTTGATTGGTCGTCAGGGGATTTTTCCGGCATCTTCCTGGTTTCTAAGCAGCCTAACTCTTTACAAAACATTGCCACTTTTCTTCTTTTGAATCTGTTGACAGTCGAACTATATTCCGTCAATACTACTTCACAGTGAAATTTGGACAAAAATGGAAACTACGTCACAAAAGTTCTACCTCTTGTTCCAAAGTTGGTTCCTGCATATTTAACCACACATTTTATGCTTGACTTTGTAAGCATGGTAATAACCTCCATTAATTTGACGTGATTTCTTATTTTTCATGAATGATTTCAGGCTCGTAATCTTGGCCCAGGTCGCCTCCCCTTGGACTCCATCATTACGATTCAGTTGCCATGGAGAGCACCCAACGGTGATTGGTTGATTTTCATCCAGAATATCCAAGTAAGTCGTCACTTGCAGAAAAAGACGTGTTGTTCTTTCTTTCAACGTTTTGGGACCTGGTTGATGGGTGTTTCTTAGAATATGGAATGCTCCGTTATTGTTTTGTGTTTATATGACACAGAAATGGGAAACTTATTTTAGCTTCAGAAAAGTGAGAGTAGTCACTCTTGACAGTTACAAAAATCTGTCAAAAAGTACACGTTCAGTTATCAATCTTGAGCGTTGTTACGAAGCAACATTGTGTAGAACTTAAATCTGGAAAATGGAAAGATGATTTTATGCCGTAATAAATCAGTTTGGAAAAAAAGCAACTACAAGTACTTGATTTCTTTTTTTTCCCCAGCTGAACGGGGAAGGCTTATGCAATGGTGAAAGTATTCTGGAATTACAAAGGACTCAAATGAGGGAACATTACATTGGTCAGACTGGCACCCTATCCAACACACCCCACGAGATACCTCCCAGCAGCGGAGACGGATCAGACAACCGAGAAATCGTGAGTGAAGGCTCGGACCGCATCCCACAGGCAGTCATGGCACCCCATGCATGTTATTTCCTATAAGCCCTGACATTTAACTCCCAGACGTCGGGAATGGGGAATACGTATTCGTGTCTGAAAAGGGAAAGCGTAATTAAAATAACAAGTCCCAACGTACACCGGATTTAATTTGGTTTGAGTTTCATAGGGAATCGGGCATAGACTGCAAAGGAGTTTTTATGCGAAGAAGAAAGTCTTATTTGTGAATCCAAACAAGCATCGCCTCAAGTCAAAACACGTTTTGACCAAAGACATGCAGCTGAATGTACCATCATCTGCGCCAAACAAACTTGCAACATGTTCTTGACAATAGCAGAATTTCCACATTTTGATACAGTTGTAGCATTAAAATACCGTCTTTGCGGTGCCTTCATTACGTCAAGAGGTGTTGAATTCCAGACAATAAGAATATTCTGTTTCCCGTTATCTTTATAGGGTTGTGGTAATACCTTATGCGTCACTATCACGTGTGGCATCAAGGGACCAATCATCGCTGGTCAGGGAGCCGTTGTTGACATGGATGCTGTGCTTTGGCAACGCACGTTGATCGATGTAAGAGCTTGATATCAGTCGCTGGTCACAGCACCGCCGCAATCAAAGGATTAACGTAGTTTTGGATCTTTAATGATCCTGTTGATGGAATAATTAGCATTTTCTAACAGCACGTCAACTTCCAGGGAGCACACATTCTATGATGGAAATCTACCCTACAACCTCAAAAGGCCGTATTTATTTATTTACTGTTTAATTTAATCAGGGTATCGTCAGTAAGACTTACTGCTATTAATGAGGGCTCTGGACATAAAACAAATTATCGTATACAGGAATAGAAAACTGAGAAACCAAAATAAAAAAATCTACAAAAGTAAGTCAAAAGTTAATCAAGAATAAGAAAAGACAACCAAACAACAAAAAAAAACCCTACTTTGTAGTTTTAATACTATGACTTTTGTAGTCATAGTACTCATGATCAGTAGCACTTTTTCTTGGATTGTAGCAGTAGTGCTTAAATTGAGTATTATTGCATGTACTTCTGACTAGTACCTACTACTTACACTAAAACAACTTCAAGACCGATCTAGTGACAAGAAGCAGGAGCCATTAGTGAGGTGTCCTCACGCGCGTGTACAGAAGACACGCACACTGAATGCTTTCTCATCAGCCAATGGGAGCGTACTTCGAACTAAAATCATGCGCTCGTCAAGCTTAGGAACGTGTGCCTGAGTAACGGGGACCTAGCAGTAATAGCGTCAGCGAATCGCTCTATACAACTTGAAGCAAGAGTAGTCAAAATGCTCCCAGAAGGCAATATACTGGTGCTTCACTGTGCCTTTACTCTGATGCTATACATGCGAAACTGTGCGCGTTTACCAAGGACAAGAGTGGGTGTATTCGATTTAGCATCTGGACGAGGCATATTTACTCATTTCAAGCCTCAGTTTTTAAAAATCCACGCAAACATACAGACAGAGGTGAATGAGGAGGTGTGGTTAGTAAGGAGTTCAGAATGTGTAATCCGTTGGTAGTTTCACCCTAACGGAGCCCAGGCGTGTTAGTTCTCCTCGTCAACATTTCTCCAATATCGTGGCAGTTTGGCCGGGATTTTTTCATTGTATTGCGCTGAGCCTGAGGGGTTCTTTCAGTAACATTCTGCGGTCGTTTGGAAACCAATTTTGTGAAATCAGACATGCCTATACTTGCATAACGCGTATTTTTCCGAGACAGGGCAACCTAAAATCCATGCTTTTTCCATTGCGTGTTCAATTCACGAGGGACAACACGCTTTAGGGTGTAAACTTCAAATGACCACAACATCAACACCCTGTGTTATACTCAAGTAAAACCAGATTGTTCTCTCCTGATAATGACTGCCTTTACATGCGTGTGAAGTTTCAAAACGATCGGGCATTTTACAGCTGAGTTCGGGGGGGGGGTCGGCGAAATCTGCCCCGGCTGTCAAATGGTCCAAAATAACCCGGTTAAGTTCCAACGAGAAATTTAAGCTTCTGTATGAATGATTCAGCAGTAGAAATTTAGCCCTGAAAACACACACACACACATACAAAATACAGCGCAGTTCTCAACGACCGTATTTGCCACGCACAGTGACATATGACTGCATGCAATATGAATGATTTTGCAGATCAAACCAATTCTTTAAAAACGACTGCTCATAATTAGCTTTCTGGCAGCCCACACCATGACGTTTTGCTTCGCTACAAATGATGAAGCATCTTAAATCGGTTTGCGGAAAACAACAATTTGAACACGACCTTGTTTGTTACCGCAGCACGATTCCAACACCGTAAACCGCTTGTTCACGACGCAGAGACACTGCCTCAACAGAAACGTCAGCGCGCAGACGTTGAGGCGTCGGCACGATTATTCTGAAATTTGAAAACATGGTTTGTTTGTTTGTTACAGACAAACACCGCACTCCTGTCCTTTTGCCCGTCCTTGCTTTAACTGGACCACTGAGGCGTGCCTGTGATTGCTGTAATGAAGTTTTTTTTTTCAAAAGTGACAGACTTAGAGATCTTGTTTGTTGGACGCTGGTAATTGGACATCAATCAGGAAAGTAGTACGACCACCTCCCAAAATAGAAATTAAGAGAAGGCCCTCATTTCCTGAATCTCGAAAAGTAGTTCACTTTACACTGAAGTAACCGATAACTGAACCCCTCTTACTCTAAAAACAGGAATTTGGTGTGTTTTTGAAGACCATGAAATCTTCTTTGCGGTGAAACAGAGCGTTGGAGATTTTCGCTCGATTTTAGTTCGAAGCAGGGTCAGAATTCATGAAATTAAAATTGACGACTCCAACACCCCTGAGCTAGTCCCACTTCCAAACAAAGAATATAGGCCTTTCAGAGAAACTTAATATTTACATTTTCTTAAACACCATTTGAGGTTGGAAACTGGTAGATCTCTGTTGATTAAATCAACGCTAATGCAAACAAGCTCTCAGAGTCAAGACAGCACGGCATCTTCTTTTCGCTAGCACCTCAACCACTCCTTCAAAATTCGGATCCCGTACATCTCGACGGCAAAATGTCTTTTAGCATGTCCTGACTGCTGACAAGCCGGGATCCACGCCGTGCGCTGAGCGTGGCCCAGCTGTTGAGTGTTTGCCATCCATTAGCCAAGGAAACATATCTCCACACGGGCGCATGCTAAGTGGACCGGATTGATAAATCGTGTGAATTTGGAAATTAATCACTATGTCCGCAGTGGTCTCGACATCGCTTCATCAAATGTCTTTTTAGCTAAGTGTTGGTTTTGGTATACAAGATAATTTGCTTTCAGACATGGCTGCTCGTCAGTGATAACCCCGCAGAATTCATTTCCTTCCCTTCTTCGACTCGCAATAGACTGAAGGCTCGATTTCTCATAAGTACTCTCCCTCTCTGGGAATGCATGTCGTAAAATTTGAAAGGAATCCTGTTAAGGTTACACCAAGGAAGTGTGATTTGTTTTCGCTACCTTCCTAGGCTTTCCACCCTTAAAAGCCTTTGTCGTTGAATGCAGGGGGGGTGTCTGGTGTCGTTTGAAGTAGTTATTTGCTGTTGACTGACGCTAGTCCACGCCAATTCTCTTCTCAGCCATTACTTATCAAGAGATGAAAACTGACAGACAAATAACCAACCACCCTTGGCATCAAGATTTAGAAGAGCGTATCTCAATAATATGCCTGAAAGATTACGAATGAAACCATCCTAGTTTCAACATGACCAGGAGAGGTGACCAACCGAAGTGACATTATGTCTCATTTCCTTTCCAATGCACAGAATAATCTGGGGAGCGTGAATCTTGTCTCAACGGCAACGGTGTCGGTGCAGGATACCAACCACTCACACACGCAACCAGACGGCGGAATGCCGGATACCACTGAGGTAATTACTTTCAGTACATGAGACGGCGTTATTTGCTGAAAGAGACGAATGAACAACAGGCGACGTGACAGCAGAGTTTTTTTAAATACAGGCATGGCACGAGCTGTATATTTAGCGAGCTTGTGTACTGTGAGCCGGGGGAAATGAAGCACTTCGATAACTTTGATGAATGTCAGCACTTTCAATGTTCTCAGGAAGTACAGGCTGAGGTTTGAGGGCAAACATCTCATATTTGACTAATGAGCGGTCTTTCGGACTTTGCCGATTACCTTGTCATAACAGGAACCTTGTATAATTAGGAATGGAAACAATAGAGAACGAAAGATTGGGACCTAAATATTTTCTTGTTATAAGCAGAATCTTGTATTAACAGTGCTCTTATTAACGAAGTTCGACTGCATCTTGTTCATGTCAATATTAATTTTCGCCTTCTTAGTTGAGGACGATGGTGTTTATTGAAGAGGTACCCAAGAAGCCGGTCGAACCTTGGATTATCGCTGTCAGCACTTTGGGAGGAATACTTGGGCTTATCTTCTTAATCCTGGCTCTGTGGAAAGTGAGTGCATGTACACTGACCCACTAGTTTTATTGCATCACTGCGCAATCTTGTGAGGGCGCCATTTACCCACTGCAGGCACCATTCACTAAAGCATCGAATCTGTTCTTATCTGTAGTCCATCACGAACTACAGGCCGGGCCTCGACTTTCTGGGGGTCTAAAGGTCCTTTTCTTGGCTGAGATTAATTCAAGAATCCGTTAACCTATTTCAATCAATACTTCTCATCTGACTGATTGAAGTACAAGTGATGACCTCATGAGAGTTTAAAGTAACGTGACATTCGGAGCCATTACTGAAATGCAAATGAGCGCCATCAAAAATTCAGACAGAACTTAATTTTTGTATCTTTTTGTTTCCCTTTCAGCTCGGATTCTTCAAAAGGCGGGAAAAGGACAAACTGGAAAAAGCCATGGAGAACGGCCTTTGAACTGCTCCACTTTGAATCAAACGACTATTGCCACAGCAGTGCCTGTTTACATGCTTATTGCTCCCAGCGTAGATTTGTCTCACAATGTGTTTGAGAAGTTTTCTAGCAGATACATTAAACTTACTAATCTTTTATAAGTACAAAGTAGCAGAATTACAAACAAGTGTCAGTGAAATCTGCTGCTTTGTGCAAAGCCAGATTTGTTCATTTTAAAATTTCAAGGTAAGATTTTGGCACGAGTAATGTGCCGTATGTGTGAAAATTCAGCACGCGCAGACTGACTTGTGATCAGTCCAGGACTTTTCTACACTAGTGATACAACTTGCCTTAGTTAGAATTCAATTTTGTCTTGTCTCTACATACCTGCAACGTCTTTTCCATAAAAGTGCTCTTATTAACAGAAGTGGATTTAGAATTGCCTTTTTGTATTTTGTATATTTCTACAATATTCATGTAATTTTGTATCATACCCGTTAATAACAATCGCCAAGTTGATGTTATCGTGCAAAAATAAGTGTATCCAAAAAAAAAAATCGGAAGAAAAACAGAAACTATGCCTTAAACTGAAGCTGCAGAAGTTGGATGAATCGGTGCTTTGCCAAATCCATTGCCAACGATGGACTTCTATTTAGTAGTATCTGCTCAATGCAGATGACTGCAGCATTCTTTCTCATATTAAGGGAGGATAAAGATAAACTGAATGATAAACAAAAGCAAGTTAGATAATTACTTGAAATTTGTAACTGTATGCAAGTAAGCAATTTAAAAGTGCATGTGTAATGTTCACAGCTTCCCTCTTTTAAATACATGTTGTTTTAAGTATTTCGGATATAATCGCATCAACTCGTTGTAAAATCTGTAATAAGTACATGTGATTGTGAAAATCTTGCTTTGTTTTTAACATCTGTACTATCGACGACATTAATTTGATACCGATGGAATGCATTTCACAATGAAAATAGAGTATTAATTCCTTTGGTTCAAAACTGTAAGGTCGGTATATTGGGTTTATTGTATATAATCTGGTCTTTTTTGCGGCAAACAGAAACAACTTTGCAAAAAAAATGGCATGTCAACCTACCTGACAGTGCCCGGCACAGTTATCCACTAGTATAATCAGTGTACAATACGCTTAATGGACACTTAGTGTTGTTTTAAATGGCCTGTATATTTATTGTAGACAAACTATTGCAATTAAAAACAATCTGTATAAATGCCCTGTTGTCGTGAGCCATTTCTACAAAACAACTGATTCAAGGAAGTCGCTTTTAATGCACGTCTTTAATATGATCTAATCCTTAATTGAGAACTGAGATGTCATTTACAGGAACGTGAATGTTTTCCATTTGTGAAACCCCTTTCTGATAAACAGATTTCTATTTTTGGTTGACCAGTATCAGTGTTTGGCCTCTGGCAGCAAACGGAAGTCTACGTCTCGGTCTGGCTGCACATTATTTTTTCTTCCCTTTCCAATGTTTTTATATGATGTCTGTGTTTTTATATGATGTCCGTTTCATGAGTTCCAGCGTGGTATTGGTTGGCGTCACAGCCAGCCTGCGGAGTGATGGCTCTCACACGTTGGCTGTTTGGTCATTAAGTAAGGTGTTGGAACGAGAAATGACGTATCCTCTGAAACACAACATGACAGAAGCCGCCAGTGATTAGTTCTCATGTAGATTATCTCTCTTATTAAGTATTCAGTAGTTCAGCGATCTTTCCCGTGCACGTCTGCAGTTGTGTACTGTTTATGGCAGGGTAGATTACCTTATATTATTTTCCAGCAGTGTTATTTCTGTTACGAAGTCGTGGTGTTAAGCTCAAAAATTATTTGTTGTAAAGTAACTACCCAGTGCTGCGTAATGGCAGTTTCTAATGGATTTGCCGATCGTCGGCGTGCCATTTCAAGAAGTATAAGGTCAAAATGTGAACTCACATCAGTTCCTCGAACGGCTCTGCGTCAAAGTACAACTTTTGAAGTGAAATAATTAAAATAAAAGTAATATAAAACATTCGAGACTTAATGCCTTTGTTTTGAGTCTTTTTTAAGTTAGGAATACAGCTTTTCTTTTCAACTGAAATGCTCAAGTTCTGTGTGATTTTACGGTAGATGGCACCGAACGTGTACAGTATTGCAAGATGGTGGCCGAATCCAGAGATTCTGCGCGTGTACAAGGAATTGGTTTCGGCAAACAGCAACAAAGAAAAGACAGGAAGATACATCAATAAACAATGTCAACATTCAGAACTTTACCCGTACTGAGGAGGATCGAAACTGTTTACTTTTAATTAAGACACGTGCTGATACAGTCACGTTTTGTAACCAATCCTGGCCTGGGACTCTAACGACTGTATGATATTGTTGTCTCCAACCCCTTGTCGTTGAATGGGAGCGCCCGGCGCGTGACAGGATTGAATTGACAACGGCTCTTTCATTGAGGGCACTCGGGGAGTTTTCAGGTCGTTGATGATGGCCCGAGATGATGGATCCATATTTCGACCCATACGCCTGATACGGTATACAACACAATGCGAGTCACGTCACTGCCCGAGTTCTCGATCGGCTGCACGAGCCGATACCATAATGCCTCACCGGGGGTCGTAATAATCATATTGATGGTACAACGGGTTAAATGGACTGATCCATTTAGAAATACTCACGGGAATAATCACGGGCAGTTTAAAATACCACTGCAATAACTGATCTCACCGAAATCTCTCGACGAAAGAACGAAAAGTGTGCACTGTTCGTATCCAGGAAAGCTCTTTTTTGGATAATATTTATAAATCTGACAGTGGAATCGTCTATTTGGGAGATTAATAATCATCAGAAAGCCTGTGTACTGTGATGAGCGCGCAGGTTAAGTTCGGCCGATGCACTTGATTTGTCACGTCGGAGTTTGGCGAAGGAAAGTCACCATGAAGAAACCAATCAAGCAGAGCGAGCTGTGAGCTGCAGTGGGGAGTTGGTAAGGTCGAGACGGTATCCAGTCGGTCGCGTCCCTGGTTCAAGGTGAAAACTGCCACGAGACGGTGACGTTACATGCCACGTTCGTGGTGTCGTTGAGCTCGATTTAAGAAAACAAAACAAGTGCACTAGCTTCTCGTCGAACGGAGCCACAAAGTAATGTCAGTTTGAAATTATGTTATTTCTCGATTTGGAGGTTGATTTCTGGATCAATCAATGAATGCAACATAAACAACGTGAAGACTAAAACCACGTTGTTCGCTTGCGAAGAACCGACACACGTCAACTCGGCCTTCCTTGTTAGAACAGGATTTATTAACATATACTTTTCAAACTAGGTTTTCGCTTAGGCCTACATTCGTTGTACTGCAAACTGAGTTTTTTGAAAGGACATCATACAAGCCTATACCTGATTTCCGCCGAGGAGCTACTCGTCCACATCACCAGGGTAGTCAGCCATTATCTCCTGTGTCATCTCTCCGTGACTTGGCAGACGTTAAGAAGAGACAGCTCTTTCCTCCTGCAATGATGAACAGAAGTGCAAGTAGTGGAGATGGTAAGTACAGATAGATCAGACTCTTGAGATCAAACTGATTGAAACTACCGAGTCGATTAACAGTGAATTCATGACAACTTAACGTGAAAATACAGGCAACCAGATTTCCTCCTTGCTTTTACTAATTCTACTCATTGTTATATTGCCCATTTAACATGTCGAACAGGTGGTCAGTATCTCTTTTTGATTTAATCATAATTTTGTTCTTTCTTATATTGTAACCGATCATTCTTCCACAGCTTGATAATCGTAAGAATTAATAGCAAGCCAAATAACATGAATTATTTATGCTGGAACATGCACAAAAACAACAGAGCTATACTCTGCATGCCATGATAATAAGAAAACGTAATATAAGGGGCCAAATTATTAAGGTGCTATCCTCCTCTCCATCTCTGAATCATCGTCATGTTTGGTATAATATTGAAATTTCTTGGGTTAGTACAAAATAGTTCGTCTACTGTTCATGTTCTCACAGTATTCTTGTGCATTGATGGAACATGGTTATTATTAAGGAAGTTTTAATATTGTTTGTTTGCTAATTAAATATTGATAGGGACTCCAATTGTGCCTTGTCGTTGATGAGGTATCTGCAGGCTTGCGGCTGTTAATGGAAACTGGTTATACTACGTGCGCGTGTTGAAAAATTCATACCAAGTAATCAGCGATACACCTTCATGTTGGCTCAAGGCTGCAGGCCTTGGATGTGAGAGCATATAGCCAGCTCTTAGATCAGTGGTAATGAACGCAGTCTAGTTGTGCGCCAACACGGCCTTGCTGCAGGCAAACCTCTGTGTTACAATAGCCCTTATTATGCAGAATTGGCTTGTGCTGGACTTCAGACAAACCTGTTATGTTAGTTGCACGCCAGTGGTTAGCAGAAATTGAAAGAGCGCGATGTACCAGGCTCAAGAGGCGAACCTTCTCATCACAAAATAGAAAAACAACAAAACTGTCAAACAGTTGAGCGTTATTGCAGTTAATGATGTACCGTGTTCGGTGCTGAAGAAATCACAGAGAGCGACGTACGTCATTAACATTAATCTCCCCGAAGCCTATTTAAACTAGTCCAGGGCAACTGCACTCAGGGTGTTAATGCATGCTACTCAAGCAATGCCATCTCGACTATGATGGATGCCTTCCTCAAAATACTCTAAATGGACGCATTAAAGGACGGGGAAACTTTAGCTCCACAATTGGTGTCATCTACACCGAATGTACACCGTCGATTTTGCCAGCGGGCCTAGCAAGATTACATAGGCCTACAAGTAATAAAACCACTTCTGTTTAAACTGGATTTATTTACGCAGAGCCATCCGCATAAATGTGAAATCAAAGGCGGAAAAACCGGGCCAGACACCCTAATCTCATTACACATTTCAGTTATGCGGTCTTATTGAGAGGAGCGCATCGACCTATTGATTTTCGTGTAAACTTACACGGGCCATGCTTGCCTCTGGCGGAAATTTGTTTTTTTCCCCAAGTTTGTTTGCCGAAGCAATGGTCGGTATTAGTGACATGGTGAGTGGAGTCGTATCATACAGCTATAGTTATACACAACCAAGGGACGATTTTAGGGCAAGTACTGAACCTCCAGCACCTGAGGGGTACCGTAGTGGGAAATATTTAGGGGAAAGCTTCCTCCAATGACATCAGGTCGACGCCAAGTAGAACGTGCTAATAGATGACACCAGCTTGCGGATTTATTCCATAGACGCACGCGCTATGTCCACTGAAGTAATTTGGGCACAGCCGACCTCACTTCGCCCGGAAAACTTGCCTTTCTCGGCTGACAGGTTACAACATGTAACCGAGTTATATCGAGGAGGGTAATCGTACAAAAGATGGAGAACATGACGCGGCTGAATGTTCTTCTGTTGGTCCACGGTTGTCAGTGTGACCATGAAGTCGGAAGATGAAAGCCTCTTTGCCCTCTATGGATTTGGAGAAGCGCAAAAATAGCATGAAAATCTGTACCCCCCACCCCTCAAAACAAGTAACATCTTCCTGGTCACGCCTACACAAATGACGTATTCAGGTTCTAATCGTCGAGCGTAAAGTGTTATCCAAGAATAGGTTGAATGAGCAAAAAGTCTCCATATCACCAATACCCTTTATTCGAGTGAAATTATGTTTGTCTTGTGACATAGCCCGTGTCAGTTTAACCCCGATGGGATTTCAGAAGGTCTGCACATAACTATATTACAATCAGCGAGAGGACGCGCAGATGGGCACGGGCTCAGTCTTGCCATTACGAACAGGACTTCGGCCTATTTTGGACTGTACGGTTGCGCAAAATAAATTTACTCTTTGAAATTAATGTCCCTGTCTTGTTTGGACGGGTAAGGAAGATGT